TGTCGGGGTTAGGGTGTAGGGTTTAGGGTGCAGGGTTCAGGGTGCAGGGTGTAGGGTTGAGGCCCCAGGGCTAGGGGTATAGGGTAAAACGCCTGAACTGCAGGCTTTAGGCTCGGGCTCATCAAGGCTTCTTGGGGCCCATGGCAGGATCAGTGGTCGTTGTCACTGTCCTTTGTGGTACTTTACTGTAACTTTAGATCCTTTCCTTTTTTGGGTTTATTGGGTTTCTTATTAAGGCAGCAAAAAGTTGAATTTATAGCTACCCTCCTGAGTGCAGCCAAGTGTCGTGGGAGCAGCGGTTGCGGCACTTGCACTTGGGCTGCGGTGGAACTGATGGCTGGTTGTATGAGTATTTGTAGCAGCAGCCGGAGGAGGAGGAGAAGTTTAGGGTTTAGGGTGTTTAGGGTTGAGGAGGAGGTGTTTAGGGTTTAGGGTGTTTAGGGTTTAGGGTGTTTGGGGTTTAGGGTTTAGGGTTTCGGGTTTAGGGTTGAGGAGGAGGAGGAGGAGGGGAGGAGGAGGTGGAGCAGCTAGTGTTGGCGTCCTACCAGCCGCCGCAGTGCAGCAGTAGCTTCTCGAGCAATTTCGCAGCTCAGCTGAGGCCCTTCTATGGAATGTAGGGTTTAGGGTTTAGGGTTTAGGGCTGTGCAGAGCAGCAACATGGAAATGCGGCCATGCCGGCAGACATATCAACACTACGGCACTGCGAGCACTGCCAGAGTACTCGGATCAGCTTCTCGGCAAGGGTTTCCTGGCCCACCAAGTGGGTATTTCGCAAGACAGAGGTACCCCCAAAATATCCCAAAATGCTAGGATTCTTATCGAAAGGAACCCTCAAAAAGAAGCCTTAAACCCTAAATCCTAAAACCCTAAGACCCTAAACCCTAAACCCTAAACCCTAAACCCGAAACCCGAAACCCTAAACCCTAAACCCTAAAACCCTAAAACCCTAAAACCCGAAACCCTAAACCCGAAACCCTAAACCCTAAACCCTAAACCCTAAAACCCTAAACCCTAAACTCCCAGCCAAAGGCCCCCGAAACCCCGCGACCCGACACGGCCCAAGGCATCCTCGAAGCGCCCTTCTCCGGGCCAGGCTCACAGAAGTTGCTTTGAGGAAGCTTCGTGGTTTATAAGGGTTGCGGTTTAGGGTGCAGGGTTTAGGGTTTAGGGTTTAGGGTTTAGGGTTCAGGGTTTAGGGTTTAGGGTTTAGGGTTTAGGGTTTAGGGTTTAGGGTTTGGGGTTTAGGGTTTACGGTTTAGGGTTTACAGGGGTCTGGAAGGGGTTCAGGGTGTAGGGGTTTGGAGGTTTGAGTGGCCATGAGATAGGCTTGCTAGGCAGGATGAGTGCATTTTCAACTTCACTGTGTATGTGCTTACGAGGTCCCCCGATCCTGCAAGCAGGGTTGAGGGTTCTGGGTGAGCACGTTCTAAGAGGGACTTTCAAGGGTGTGGTTTGCAATAGAAGGGGACCATATCCTTTCCAGAATCCCTCGGTGTACCTGGCTTAGGTCCTTTTGGGTCTTAGTAGTAGAGTAGGTAACCTTTAACCTTTTTGGGTTCTTATATTCCCCTTATAATCCCAAAGGTTAACCTTTAAGACCCCTAGGTGCTGGACAACTAAGTGGGGGTTCCCAGGATTCAGATCATGGGTGTCTGAATTCCAAGCCTGGAGCCGCCAAGGCTCCCTGGTTCCCTTTGGGCTACTGTGCCTGCGTCGTGCTACAAGTTTCTCCCTGGCATCCAGGGGTTTAGGGTTAGGGTTTAGGGTTTAGGGTTTAGGGTTTAGGGTTTAGGGTTTAGGGTTTAGGGTTTAGGGTTTAGGGTTTAGGGTTTAGGGTTTAGGGTTTAGGGTTTAGGGTTTAGGGTTTAGGGTTTAGGGTTTAGGGTGTTCCCTTGAAACCCTCAACTTGCCCCGACCCCAAACCCCCTAAACCCCCGAATCCCCCGAAACCCTAAACCCAAAAACCCTCAGGCCCTAAACCCTAAACCTAAACCCTAAACCGTAACACGCAGCTCGTCGGAGGTGACCTGATCTACCCCGACGTGAGTGCCATGAGGCGCGCAGTGGCGGGGGAAGTGCACCGTCTGCTACCGGGCCTCTTCAAGAAAATGCCCTAAACCATACTTCGACGGGTTCATGGGTAACTGTAAGCAGGGTCACAAGTAAGGTAACCTGCGTGAGAACCCACTTAAGGCCCTACTTAGAACGACCCATGAGCCTTCAAGCAGTAGCCCTAAACCCTAAACCCTAAACCCTAAACCCTAAGCCCTAAACCCTAGACCCGAAAACCTTCAACCCTAAACCCTAATGGAGCTTGCTCTCTGGTGACGAGGCTGCCTGGCCAAAGGTCGAAATCCATACTATGCTAGACCCGCCACGGACGCCTCTACCTGCAGATAGATTATATGTAGTGTATAAAATAGACGGTGAAGTGTATAATCTGTATAATACAGTATGTATATATATATATATATATCTATATATGTATACATATGTATGTATATATATATATATATAATTCTTAATTTCTAGCATCTTCAAGACCAGAAAACCCTGAAAGCCATCGAATCTGAGGTTGGAACCCTGGGCCCTTGGTTTGGTCCCTTGCCCTTGTTGACAGGGATCCGAAGTATGGGCCCGTATCATGTGTAGTGTATATCTGGGCCCAACTTGGAACCTTAGATAAAAGGAACCCCGCAAAACGGGACCCTCCAATTGCCTAAACCCCAAACCCCAAACCCCAAACCCTAAACCCAAAACCCTAAACCCTAAGCCCTAAATTGCAGCCGAGGCTTCCTGTGTCGCCTCCCGACCCCTGGCGCCAACGGCGCCCTGTGGGCGCCGTGCCGGCGCTGCTGGTGAGCCGCTGCGGCCGCGGGGGCAAGGCCTCCACGGTTCCGGAGCCTCCAGGTTTTAAGCTTCCGGGTTTCGGGTTTGGGGTTTAGGGTTTAGGGTTGAGTTTTATTTATGTATTATGTATTATTATTATTATTACTATTACTATTGCTATTACTATTATTATCATTATTAATGTTTTTTCTCCGAGGGTTGGGTGAGGGGACTATGTTTTGCGTTCAGGGGCCCTGCCGCACGCCTTTGGACCCCAGCGGAGTCGGGTGGGCGCGTGGGATGCTGCTTCGGTGTATTGGGGGGGGGGGGGGGGGTTCAGGAATTTTTACTAAGAGTCTTCCCTTCTGGTCCCTATATATATATATATGTATATATATATACATATATATATATATATATATATATATATTGTGAGTATTCTACCATGACCACCGTTTTTTTTTTTGTAAGGCCCCTTATACTATGCTGGTGTGATTTGGGGTATGTGGTGTACGTTTCGGGTGCATTCTTGCCGGGCTCCGGGTTTGTGTTTCATGGCTTTCGGGAGTGGCTGGGAGTTCTGCTTTGTGTTGCAGGCCTTTCGTATGGAAGTGTCTACCGGTTATAACATTTAAGTTGGGATGTTCCCCCTTATACTCACGGTCCTTTATATTGAAAATAATAACGGGGTACTCTAATTCCTGTTAAGGAGCTGTTAGCATAAAGGGGAGCATCCCGACATCTAAGCCCTAACCTTTAAGGAGCTCCTTTTCATCCTGATGAAGCCCTGAATGTTCGTAAGCTCCTCTTGTTTCGATACAGGCCTAGGCGCCTAAACCCCCCCAAACCCCAACCAAATCTGGCTGCCCTTCTTTTTTAGAAGAAACCCCGAACTCTTTATTAAAGCCTTAAACCCGCCAAAGCCCCGAACCCTCACGTTGCCCTTAACAAGCCCTTAGCAAGCCTCTTTCAAGCCCTGCACTTTGCAAGCCCCTGGGCCCAATCCCCTGAAAGCACTCAAGGGCCCGCCGAAAGCAGGCTGACTGCCAGAAGCGGAACGTCACGAATCTGCCCACTCTCTCCTCGGCGCTGCGCCGGCAAGGACCCCCCCCTTTGGTCAGGGTTTTGGGATGGGGGGGGGGGTTTCGGGGAGGGGAGCGTTGATCCAAAATTGGTGCAAGATTCTCCTTTCTGTCTTTAGTGGCAGCCCCCCTAAACCCTAGACCCTAGACCCTAGACCCTAAACCCTAAACCCTAAACCCTAAACCCTAAACCCTAAACCCTAAACCCTAAACCCTAAACCCTGAACCCTAAACCCTCAACCCTCAACCCTAAACCCTCAACCCTCAACCAAACCCTCAACCCTCAACCCTCAACCCTCAACCCTCAACCCTAAACCCTAAACCCTAAACCATAAACCCCTTTTTGAGTCCTGAAAGGTGTTCGCGAAAATGGCTCTTCGTTTAGAAGTCCGGCAGCGCCTCGAATCTTCACGGTCGAGACTTAATATCCGCGTTGATGACTCGAGCTACGCATATAATAATATGGTGAGTTCTCTAAATTAGGGTCTCTTTTTCGGGTACCCGAAATGAGAGGGGCCGCCTTCTAATGAGGATCTAAAAAGGGACCCGAATTTAGAGAACTCTCTCTCTCTCTCTCTCTCTCTCTCTCTCTTGCTCTCTCTCCCTCCCTCCCTCCCGCCCTCTCTCCCGCCCTCCCTCCCGCCCTCCTCTCTCGCTCTTTCTCTCTCTTTCTCTCCCGCTCTCTCTCTAGTGCCCTGGGGAAAGAGCAAAGCCGACGGCCCTCGTCTCCAAACCCTCGTGAGCCCAAAGCCACAAATCCCAGGACCGAGAGCAGCGGCTCTTCTTCCCTCTTTTCGGGGAGATAGGTTCCCTCGAAGCCCCCTTTCCCTAAACCCTGAACCCTGAACCCTAAACCCTAAACCCTAAACCCTAAACCCTTCACCCTAAACTAAGTGAGGGGTCGCTTCCGTCGAGCGACAGACCCCGAACGCTCGGCCGAGGGCCTTACAGCCCGAGCGCCCAAGCGAAAAGAGAAACGGAAAGGTGAGGGTTAAGCCTCACCGTCTGTCCTGGACAGGCCAACGGACATTGGCCTTTTTTACGACAACGTCAGTACTCGGCTAAGGGATGGCCGGCACCCAGACCACCTTTAGCGTAGCTCAAGTATAACCCCAAATCGTAACCCTTTTCCTCTGGACGTGGTTCAGGGTTTTGGGTTCAGGGTTTGCTGGATTCCTGGACCAGGAGGCTGGCGAGGGGGTCCAGGCAGGCTGGTTGTCAAAACGGTACTGAAAAAGGGGAATGGGGCAAGGGCCCCCCCGGGCCCAAGGCCCCTGGCCAACGGAGGGCCTAAGGGTTTGGACCCCCTGGGCCCCCCTGTCAAGGCCCCGCTTTCCCCGAGTCAAGGATCTCAAAAAACCCCGTTCGGGCCGGGCCTCAGGGCTACGGGACCAAGGGCCCCCCCGGGCCTTCAGGCCGCTTGGGGCCCGGGCCAAAGGGTCTGGGCCCCGTGCGGGCCAAGGGCCCTTTGGGGCCAAGGGTCTGCCAACCGCGGACGGAAGCTATCCTGGACCCCCTCCAGACAAAAGGGCCGGAAGAGGGGGGCCCCCAAACCAAGCCCCGCACCAAGGCCTTTCGGGCTCCCCCCAGCCAAGAACAAAAACCCCAACGAAGGGCCAAGAGTCTTTTTGGCAAGAGGTGCTGCGGGACCTGGAAGGGCCGGGTTCAGGGCTAGAGGAAGGCCCCCCAAGAGGGCCGTACATCAATGAAAAATGTTTTTTTTCAACTGGATTTTACACCAGAAGCGCCAGGAAAGCCCAGGAAGCCCCAAGAGGCGCCAAGAGCCACCAAAAGGCTTCAAAAGCTTCAAAAGGCCCCCTAAATGAAGGGGGACCACAAGATGTGTCCGTGCCCACAATGACAAATGCGATTTTTGAATATTGAAAACGATGGTTTTAGGCACCCCTGCCCGCAATGAAAAATGTTGTTTTTTAGTACTGAAATCGATGGCTTTGGGCACCCCTCCATTTCACCCCAAAAGACCAGGAAAGCCCCAGGAAGCCGCCAAATCAGCAAGGGCCTCTACGGGCCCTGACGTGCCGAAGGCGCGAAAAGGGCCGAGGCTACCCCGAACCCCAGCTTAAACCCTAACACCGCAAAACCCTTCAAGCAAATTAGGGCCTCTACGGGCCCTGACGTGCCGAAGGCCCGAAAAGGGCCGAGGCTACCCCGAACCCCAGCTGACACGCCGAAGGTCCGAACAAGGCCCCGACAGACCCCAAGAGCCACCAAAAGGCTTCAAAAGGCTTCAAAAGGCCCCTGAAAGAAGGGGGACCCAGGCTGCCCGTACCCGCAATGAAAAATGCGATTTTTTGGTACTGAAATCGATGGTTTTTTCCTTCATTTTACCCCAGCAGGGCCAGGAAAGCCCCCAGGAAGCCCCCAAAAGGCCCCAAGAGCCACCAAAAGGCTTAATTGAGGCCCTTAAAGAAGGGGAATCCAGGAGCAGGCACAAAGGGTTTCCCTGACCTTCAAATAAATAAGGGCCTCTACGGGCCCTGACACGCCGAAGGCCCGAAAAGGGCCGAGGCTACCCCCAACCCCAGCTTAAACCCAAACAGCGCAACTTTAAAAACATCAAAGCAAGGATCAGAGCACAAGAAAATAAATTCCATAAACCCTAAACCCTAATAGAGTATAGTTTGGGTGGCCGGGGTGGGTTGACGGGCAACGCGAGCGCGCGGCCCGGGGTGTTTGACACCCGAGCGCGTGCCCTCCCCTGACACACCCTAAACCCTAAACCCTAAACCCGAACCAGCCCCCTTTGTGTTCCCCCAGGTTACTATCTATGATCTAACCCAAAACCCAAAACCCAAAACCCTAAACCCTAAACCCGAAACCCTAAACCCTAAACCCTAAACCCTAAACCCTAAACCCTAAACCCTAAACCCTAAACCCTAAACCCTAAACCCTAAACCCTAAACCTCCTCCCCCGCCCCATCATGCAGCCGCGCAGGCCATGGCTTGCTTTCAGTGGCCACCCTCAGGTCCTCCTTCGGGAGGGGGAGGGGGGGGTGCTGAAGCCCTAAACCCTAAACCCTAAACCCTAAACCCTAAACCCTAAACCCTAAACACTAAGCCGCCTGGACCACCTTTGCCCTAAACCCTAAATCCCCATCGCGGGATCTTTAATTTTCCAAGGGTTTGGGGGTTCAGGCTTTAGGGTTTAGGGTTCTTGGTTTGAGCGTTGATGGAGTTTAGATTAAATTAGGGCTTTGGGTTTTGGGTTCTTGGTTTGAGAGTTGATGGTTTCGGGCCGGCCCACACCTTGGACTGCAGAGCCCGCAACCCTAAACCCTAAACCCTAAACCCTAAACCCTAAACCCTAAACCCTAAACCCTAAACCCTAAACCCTAAACCCTAAACCCTAAACCCTAAACCCGAAACCCTAAACCCTAAACCCTAAACCCTCAACCCTCAACCCTAAACCCTAAACCCTAAACCCTCAACCCTACTGCGGCAGGATGGAAGACTATCCCTTGCTGGTTCAGCTCCAGCTCATCCTCTTCAGAACCCGTGCGCCTCGACTGGCGAATCTTGGGATGTTCCCCCTTATGCCAACCGCCTCGGGTTTAGGGTTTAGGGTTTAGGGTTTAGGGTTTAGGGTTTAGGGTTTAGGGTTTAGGGTTTAGGGTTTAGGGTTTAGGGTTTAGGGTTTAGGGTTTAGGGTTTAGGGTTCATAGTACCCTCTCCCTATTAGGGACTGTTCGTAAAAGTCGGAACATCCCAAGGTGACTCACTAAGCCCTAAACCCTACACCCGAAACTCCGAGCCCAAAGCCTGCACTCAACCCTCAACCCTCAACCCTCAACCCTCAACCCTCAACCCTCAACCCTCAACCCTAAACCCTAAACCCTAAACCCTAAACCCTAAACCCTAAACCCTAAACCCGAAGTCCGCAAGAAGCCGCGAGCTCCTGAAACTTCGATACCCCCTGAAGAGAATTTCGCCCGGGGCAGACTGCAGTTTAAGCTTTTGGGGGTGTAGGATGTTGAGCTACGAAGGGAACCCTAGACCCTGAACCCTAAACCCTAAACCCTAAACCCTAAACCCTAAACCCTAAACCCAGTTTAACAGCTTTGGGGCGCTCAGGTGCTGATCGCCGCCTTTGGTGCCACGCTGGCATGGACCGCATTCTTGCAGCGGGGTTCCTTTGTGACTTGCTGCTGCCCAGTTGGGTTCCAGTTTCAGGGCCTTATATAGGCTCCAGGGTGCGTGGAAGGGGGGAAACCTTAAACCCTAAACCCTAAACCCTAAACCCTAAACCCTAAAGCCTAAACCCTAAACCCTAAACCCTAGACACTAAACCCTAAACCCTCTTCCCGAAACCCATAAACCCATAAAACCGAGGTGATCGAGCTGCATCCCGGCCCTCCAGATCGCCTCGTGCAGCCTTGCCGCAACAACGCGTCGAGGCGGCTGTTTCGGGTTTCGGGTTCAGGTAGGCAAGGCAATATGCCTTAAGCCATGACCTTAAGCTGCCGAAGAGGCCTTAAAGGAAATCTAAAGGCCTTGCGCCACGGGCCGGCCTGGCCGTCTGAAAGCTGAAACTCAAACCCCAAACCCCAAACCCCAAACCCTAAACCCTAAACCCTAAACCCTAAACCCTAAACCCCAAACCCTAAACCCTACACCCCAAACCCCAAGCCCTCGGCCGAGGCATTGGGGCAGTTGCTGGCGCCAACCCCCGGCGATGTTCGAGCTTCTTGACCCACCGGTTCCCATCTGGGACCTGAATCCCCGCGGCCCGTTTGCAAGCTTAGGGTTGAGGGTTTAGGGTTGAGGGTTTAGGGTTTAGGGTTTAGGGCTTGGGATGGTACTGTAATCCTAGTAAGGGCAGTTAGTATAAGGGGGAAGATCCCGAGTAAGATCTAAACGGAAGAAAGACGACAATCAAGAGATAGTTTAAATACGAAACGGCAAGGGAAGAAATAAATCAAGAAATGGGGAAGGAGAGAACGACAGCGCAAATGTTAAGAAATACATAAAGGAAGAAAGAAAGGATCAAGACAGAAAGAAAGACATAAGTATAAAAACGCAAGACAAAATTAGATAGATAACGAAAGGCAGAAATAGCGAACGAAGGAAATACATTACGAAGTAAAGAAAGACGGACAGAAACAATGAATAACGCATAAATCAAGAAAATGAGGGAACTACATAAACTACGAAAGAACACAGAAATATATAGCGAGATGAAGAACGAATGCCAAACAGGGTTCAAGAAGTATCGACATCAATAAAGACAAAATAAGTACAAAAATAAAGACGGACAAAACCAAACGAATGCATCGAGTATAAAGAAGTACAACAGGGAATGCCAACACAAACCAAGAACGAACGAAAGACGCAAATAAAGAACCACAACCACAAAGAAATACCTAGAAAAGCAAAGAAGCAGCACAGAAATAGCGGACGAAAGAAGAAAGAAGAAGGGAAGGTAAGAACGAATGTAGAGTTACCACTACTACTTCAGTCACAATTACCACTTTGTGACTATACATATGTGTTTTTGGGGGTGGCTAAAGTTTTTCTTGAGCCAATTTCATTTTTTTGTGGGTGTGATTCTTTTTTAGGTTCTGCGTGCGTGCTACCTAGAACACAGGCCTAAACCCTTAACCTCAAACCCTAAGACTGTTCGTTGGCACCCCTGCGAAACCCCTAAACCCCTAAACCCCTAAACCCCTAAACCCTAAACCCTAAACCCTAAACCCTAAACTCTAAACCCTAAACCCCCTAAACCCTCAACCCTCCCTTGCCACATTCTCAGGCAGCGAGTGGGGAGGCTGGGCTCAAGCCGCCCACGTGCACCACGCCTGTGTGGCAAAGCCACAAGCCCACGGTTCCTGGGACTCCCAAGGGTTTAGGGTTTAGGGTTTAGGGTTTAGGGTTTAGGGTTTAGGGTTTAGGGTTTAGGGTTTAGGGTTTAGGGTTTAGGGTTTAGGCATCATAGCCCCTAGTCGTACCATTACCGGCCCTACATACCTAAGAATACCTAGGTGCATAGCCCAAAAGCACTCTTCTTTTTGTTACGGGGGGATGGGTTCCCGCACAAAGCCATTAAGGTAGGAGAGGGTGCTTCGGGTGCGAACCGAGGTTCGCGCTGTCTTCGCTTACACGTGGTGGACGACTGGGAGGTTCACGGGTAGCTAGGGTTAGGCTTAGGAGTTTCGGGTTCAGGGTTTAGGGTTTAGGGTTAGGGCTTACGGGTACCTTAGTTAAGGTGAGAAGATAGGCTACTTGACTTGTAGCCCTTAGCACTACCCATGAGCTCCGTGAGCCTTCAAGTGGGAGAGGTTCCCGAGTTCGAGACGGACGTGGAGACAGTGGTGGCCCTCTCTCTGGATGCGGCCAGGAAGCTAGGCAGGCCCTTGGGATGCTGGAGATGTTTTTTTTTGGGTTTCCGCGGGTGTCAGAGGATCATCTTAATATCTGGAAATCTGATATCAGGGGGTTGAGATGCCCCGGCCGAGGAGACTGTCCAGTCATGCAGCCGCCAAGCAACGATGAGATCCGCGCAGGCTCGCGGCTGCCTTGCAGCGAGCACTGCGTCGCTTCCGAACTCCCTGGACCTTCGGGCCGACGAGGCGGCGCCGACTTCGTGCCAGAACCTGAACCGGAAGACCCCGCCGCGACAGCGCGTCTTCTCCTCGGCGGCTCCTTCTGCAGCGCTCTTTGGGCAGCCTGCGAGAGCGAGAGAGAGAGAGAGAGAGAGCGAGAGAGATGTACGGTGGGCCGGACGCCAAGATCCCATGAACTCCAAACCTGAAGCCTTAAACGCTACGTCCATGAACCTTCAAATCCCCGTTTGGGAGGGAAGTTCCGACGCGGCGCTCGAAAAAGGCTGAGCTGCAAGCGGTCCAGAAACTTCTGCAGTCGTCTCGCTCCATTCCCAGGGCCTTGAGGGGGCCTAAACCCCAAACCCCAAACCCTACACCCTAAACCCTAACCCTTTTTAGGTGTTTAGGGGGCTCTTGAGGGCTCAAGTCCCCTTGGTAACCCAGCGGTACTCTTTTTGCACTTGTCTTTGTCTTAGTGGTTCCTGTATGTCCCTGATGTTGCCGTGTAGCTGCCACGGAGCGTGAGCCCGGTTTCGGGTTTCAGGGCGTAGGGCTTAAGAGGGCCTCCAAAGGGCTTCTAAACCGGGCTTATAGGGTTTTGAGTGGTTGCATTGTTTTTCGGGTCGGTTTAGGAGGTTTCGGGTCCGAAAGCCCTACAAACCCCAACGCGCCTGTGAGTGGGCGTGCAGGCCTTGTATGCGGACTCCAAGATAAAGGAGAACATCGAGGATGCCGACCTCGAGGCCAGTTTAGGGTTTAGGGTTTAGGGTTTAGTCTGCTTCCAATCTCCCCAGACCAAAGTCACTGACCACGAGGGCGATTGCTCGCGAGCCCTGAGCCCTGAGCCTTTCAATCCTGACTCTTGCAGCTCCCTGTGTTTAGGGGATGTGTGTTCGTACCTCTTCTCTTGCAGCGTGGTGCCCTAGAAGAGGTCTTGCTTTGCCTGCTGCTCATTCAGAAGAGCCCTGAAACAAACGCCCTGCGGCCCGAGCCACGCTTGACATTGCAACTGCCAGCGCCCCCAAGATCCTGTCATCTCAGACGCCATGGCGGAGGTCGAGTTCAAGGTGGGTGCCAAGGGGAAGAAGGACCTGGTGGACAACGCGCTGGACAGGAAGTTCCGGGGCTCCAGGGTGGACAACTACTTCCGGGTCTCCGAGCGCGGCTCGAACCTCACCACGGAGATCCGGGCCGGGGTCACCACCTTCCTCACGGCGGCCTACATCATGGCCGTGAACCCCAACATCCTGAGCACCACGGGCCTCAACTTCGATGGCCTCGTCTTCGCCACGGCGGCCTCCAGCTGCGTCGCCACGCTCATCATGGCCCTCTGGGCCAACTTGCCCTTCGGGCTCTGGCCGGGCATGGGCATGAACGCCTACTTCGCCTACACGATCGTGGGGTTCAAGGGCCAGCAGAATGCCGTGAAGAAGGTGATGATGGCGGTGACCGTGGAGGGCGTGATCTTCATCATCATGTCCGCTCTGGATATCCGGCGCTATGTCTTCAAGGTCTTCCCGACCTGGATGATGAAAGCCACCATGGCAGGGATCGGCTTGTTCCTGGCCTTCATCGGCCTGCAGGCTGGCAACGGCATCGACATCGTCCGGGACCATCCGGCAGTGTTGGTGGATCTCGTCACCCTCACGGGCGAGCACTACCTGCGAACTTGGGTCGGGATTGGGTTCTTTTGCCTCATGAGCCTGCTGATCCTCTTGCGCGTGCGCGGCGCCGTCATGGTTTGCATCCTCCTCAGCGCAGTCCTCTCCTGGATCTTGCAAGCTGCAGAGGTGGAGCAGTTCAGCTACAAGCCCATGTGCTGCCTCGGCAGCGTGTCCTACGTGGAGCCTGTGAATGGAGCTGCGGGGTGGTACCCGAAGCCGGGGGGTGGCTTCTACCCGAAGCCGACATGCGAGAATCCCTACACGGTGCCTGGCTACGGCCAGATGGAGAGCACGGAGACCGGCCCCTCCGTTAGCTTCGTGTCCTCGGCCTCGGTGTCCGTGGCCAACGGCGTCTATACCATCACGGAGGGCGCTTCCTCCACGAACCACACCGGCAGCCTCTACTTCCAGGGTGTCGCAGCCGGCCGGGATTCAACCTTCAAGGGCGGCTGCCCGGATGCGTGCCATGCCATGATGGGGGGCTTCAACCCAATTTGTTTCGACACGGTCTTGGTGGAGACGGGCTGCTGGACCTCCATGTCCTACCAAAGTCGGGCAAGTGCCAAGCTCGTGCTCGATCAGTTCGGGGAGGGCTGCATCGGCGGCGCCGGCCGCATTCCGAAGACCTTCAGCGCGCCAAGCGCCTTTGCCTCGCTTCCCCTGATCGATGTGGCAGGGCCATTGGTTGCTCCGTTCTCCGGATGGGCGGGCTGTGACGCAGATGGCAACTGCGAGAGCGGCGACGTCTCCGGCGGAACTATCTTGGCTTGGGACTTCTCTGGCTTCGGGGACTGGCAGGGCTTCTGGAACCCCTTGTTGACCCTGCTCTACATTGACTTCATCGGAACCATGGGCTTTCTGTATGCGGCCGCAGACCTGAGCGGCCTGGTTGACCCCAAGAAGCCCGAGAGCTTTCCTGGCTGCTACGCCGCCTTCATGGCGGATGCGGTCGGAACCTTCGTCGGCGGCTTCCTGGGCACCAGCTCTGTGACGACCTACGGCGAGTCCATGGCCGGTGTTTATGAGGGTGGCCGCACCGGCCTCACCGCGCTCGTGATTGCCTTCCTGAACTTTGTCTGCATCTTCATGACGCCGCTGCTGTCCTCCGTCCCGACCCTCTCCACCGGGCCTGCGCTGGTCATGGTGGGTGTCTTCATGATCGAAGGTGTGAAGGACATCGACTGGACGGACTACATGCAGGCCATCCCGTCCACAATTTGCATCCTTCTGCAAATCACCACCTACAAGATCGAGGTAGGCGTCTTGGGAGCCTTGCTGGTATGGAGCTTCCTGATGGTCTTCTCCGGCCGCGTCTTCCTGTACATCCCCGGAGCCTGGGACAAGCTGCCGCTTGCCGTGCAGAACTTCGTGTCGTCTCAGCAAGGGGACGCGGACTTCCAGCGACGCCTCAAGGAAGTCGCCACACACGAGCCGAGGAAACTGAATGTGCTCCCCGCCCCCGATGTAGAGCAGCCTGCCCCCCGCCAGGCCTGGTGAGCGCATCACGAAAGGTGCTTGGATCATATGAGGTCTCCTTGAGGGGGGTCTATTTAGTGAAAGGTTCGCATCGGGCCTTGTACTTGTGGCCCCAAGAGAGCCAGTTGCAGTTCAAGTGCAGTGCTTCTGTGGCTTCAGTGAGCTCAAGGGCCGCTTCATGACATTTGGAGCTCTTTGAGGCCCTGGGTCTACGATGCCCACTATACCAGGCCCCTGTTTGCGGGGCCAAGTTCGCGTGATCCCCTGATCCCGAAGACTGAGGGTGAAATGAGGTGAAATTGCTTCTCATGTGATTCAAACTTAGCCCGATCTTTGCTGTTTTGGAGGCATCAGAGGGTCCGTTCTTTGCGGGCTCCTGTTTGGGAGGCTGCTGCATGCAAAAGGGCGCCACAGTGCGACACATCCTTTCGGAAGGAGGAGCCCCGAGCACCGACCGGGACCGGGGCTCCGTGATCCGCTGGGCAGCCAGCGCGCCCCTCCACTTGGGTTGGGCGCAGGAGAGGAGCCCTCTTAGTTTTGAAGAGGGCTACCCTGGACTCTTGACCTGGACCCCTTCTACTCGTAGGCACAGAAGGGCTTAGCTTACAATGACGGAAAATTCTCCAAGGGTCCAGGTACCGGCATCCGTGGTCTTCGGCCACTTTCGGCGAGTGGCGTGAGGCGCAGGATCCAAACAGTGAGCAGCTGAAGCCGTGTCAAGTCCTGATCCTTAGGAGCAACTCTGAAAGATACGGACCCATTGTGGGGCGCTTTTTGTGTCTAAAGAAAGCGAACTCATTCTTAAAAGGGAATACCGAAAGGTTCCCTAGCATAAATCAAGCCCCACCATCTTGTGCATCCAGCTCTTCGCGTTCTTAGCCTGAAGCATTTCCCGGCTCCTGGCAGACCCTCATGCAGCAGATCAAGCACATCAGAATACGTGAGCGAGGGCCTCAGAGGACGATCGGGCGCATGGGTTGGACCTGCCAAAAAAATATCAGTAGCAGCCACAAAAGTAATAATAAGAAGGATAAGAATACAGATAAGAATAAGAATCAAAATAGAATAAAGCAATAACAAGAAAAACCAACCACAATTGCAATAATAATAATAATAATGAGAAGAATAAGAAGAGCAACCACATAGTAATGATGTTCGTAAGAACTAGAATAAGAATGAGAATGAGAAAAATGACAATACTGATGCTACGGATAGTTTTTGGTTTCCCGGCTCAACACCCTCACAAATAGGGATTCTCCAGCAGTCGTGTGGGTGGTTGTCAAAATTGTGGTCCCTTTTTGGATCCCCATTATAATACGGCACCTAATATTTAGGGCACCCCAAAAAGGATTTTCATTTTGACAACCTTTAAAGTTTTCATAAGGTCCATCGTTTTGGGGGGCTTCGGGTAGACACCTTAAACCCTAAACTCTAAACGCTAAACTCTAAACTCTAAACCCTGAACTAAACCCTACACCCTAAACCCTAAACCCTACCGTGTTGGCCGTCGAGAGCCCACTCAGGAGCCTGAGCCGAAGCATTGCATACCCCACAAACCGTCTAGGCCCAATCCCGTAAAAACCCTAAACCCCTAAACCCCTAGACCCCTAAACCCCTAAACCCCTAAACCCCTAAACCCCTAAACCCCTAAACCCCTAAACCCCTAAACCCCTAAACCCCTAAACCCCTGAACCCCCAAACCCCTAAACCCCTAAACCCCTAAACCCCCAAACCCCTAAACCCCTAACCCCTAACCTCTAAACCCTATACCCTAAACCCTTTACCCCGAAAGACCCTAAACCCCAAATCCAGCAGAGTTCGACTCTAGCGAGGCAGCTTATGGATTGAGGCTTTTCCATCTAGGTTCTCGCCTCTCTCCAAGGTTTGATCATGGTGAGGACGAGTTCTTCAACAAGTTCTTTTCCAGAAGACAGCCGCTCCCTGAGCCAGGTTTAGGGTTTAGGGTTTAGGGTTTAGGGTTTGGGGTTCGGGATTTAGGGATTTAGGATTTAGGGTTCGGGGCTTCCTGCTGCTCAGAACTTCTTGGGGAACCAGTGTAGGACGATGGAACCGCATGATTGAGGTGAAACCCTGAAACCCTGAACCCTAAACCCCAAACCCATAAGCACTAAGCCAAAGCCCTGCACTCAGAACCTATGAACCCTGCGCCCATGTGGTGCAGCGCTATGTTTCTGCTTGGATTTGCCTCAAACTCCCAGGGAAGGGGGGTCTAACTATGTATGTATTTATGTTTAGGGTTTAGGGTTTAGGGTTTAGGGTTTAGGGTTTAGGGTTTAGGGTTTAGGGTTTAGGATTTAGGGCTTAGTCTACTTGGGTCTAGACACATGTAACAATATCATGCAGTAATGTACACGAGATGTTCAAATATATAGTTGGCACAGCGTCAGGCAATGTAAGATCATATCGGAGATGATGTATGAGCATGTGCACAGATGAGTTGGAGATGCCAACAACCCTAAACCCTAAACCCTAAACCCGAAACCCTAAACCCTAAACCAAGAATTTGCAGGCTCGGGATTATGGCGCATGAGCTGCAGCCAGTCATGCCCACCGCGGTGAGAGCCTCAGAGAGCCCAACCCCTTGCAGTGGGTGGGTTGAATTTAGTAATTTAGGGTTTAGGGTTTAAACAACGAAAAGTCGGAAGTGGGCACGCCGCGAGGCTCAGATGTAGTGTTTGCGAAGTGCGCGGAGCTGTATTGGCGCGCCCAGCGACACGCTTTGGCCAGCCAAGCTCCCGTTTAGGAGTTTGTATGTGGGATTTTGGGTTTTTTTTGGTTTTTGGGGTTTAAGGTTGCTGAAGGATGTGCTGTAATATAGGGGTCGGAAGCCGCATGGTCCCTGTAAAATTATGCCAGAAGCTCGCGCAAAAAAAACAATTCTACTTATTAGGGCCCCTACGTTACCCGACTGGACCTCGCTGCGGTGCGATCCCAGAAGTTCCGTGGCGCCCGAACGCCTGGGTTGCCGGTACAGAGCTATCTTAACCCCCCCCCCCCTTCCTGATATTAAAATACTCTTCATATACTATAGAGTAAGGATGCTGGGAGTATTGTTTTTATTTCCTTCGCCCTAAAACTGCAAACCCTAAACCCTCAACCCTAGACCCTGTTTGGGGGTACGGCGGGGGTTTAATGTTAAGCTCAACCTTTCGGGGGCATAAGAAATCCTGCCATAATTGAAAGGTTAGCCTTCTGTGGCCCGTGGTACCCAGCAACAAGGTAGGGGATTAAGCATGCTTGCGCCTCGGTTTACAAGAGCAGGGCAACCTCGTCCTTCAGCCCTGCCAAAGCCTACTGAGCCCCACTAAAGCTCGCCAAGTCCCAAAACCTTAAACCCTAAACCCTAAGCCCTAAACCCTAAACTCTAAGCCCTAAACCCTAAACCCTAAGCCCTAAACCCTAAACCCAAAACCCTAAACCCTAAACCCCAAACCCCTCGAGAGCCCTCACCATTCGTCCCGCGCCAGCGAGGTCGGCGTCTTGCCCGAGCGAAGGTGGACGAACCCGAAGGGCGTTACCAATCAGACGAAGCATGCCGCGCGCTTGGGCTCCCCCGGGATGAACCCGCAAGGATGGAGGTTTGGGGTTTAGAGGGTGGTTTAGGGGGTTGTAGGGTTTCCCCGAACCTTTCAACCCTAAACCCCCAAAACCCCAAAACCCTACAACCCCAAAACCTTAATTGAAATAATACATAGCATAGAGACAGCATTAGATGCAATTTCGTAGAAGCGTAGTACAATCTCGTAAAAGAAATTTCTAAATACTCCGGTTTAGCAGATATAGCATGGACCCATCAAGCACAAGAATAAGACAATTTCCAAGAAAATAATATCCTAGAAGATTCCGATTTATATCATTCATCATATAATCAATGTCCATATTAGTCTTGCGTGGGTGGATTCAGCAGACAGTGTTCGCACGGCTTGTGGCCTTTGTTCGTACACTTCAAGAAAACGAACAAAAGTGAGCACCGTCATCGAGGAAGCGGCGACAGACTTCGAGCTCTGGCTGAATCGAGGCCCTCCGTGCCGTGGCCGAGGGCGAGGTGGATCGTGCGGGTGCCCCGGTGACCATTTCGTGGATTCCAGGTGCCACGCCGGAGGAACTCTTTGCCAAATGCGAAGCTGACACCGCGGGCAGCTCGTACTTCGGGGTTCTGCATGGCCACGATGACATCGCTGGCTTTTTTAGAAGACTTGGGTCTCCCCGCGCGCAGAGAAGGATACTTTGATCCATGAGAAGTACCGGTAATGTTCTGAGGCGTTGAATCTCTGGGTTTGTTTCACCCTCGCGATACTAGGCTTGTGAATCCCTTCGTCTTCGTTTTGTTTTCTCTTCTTCACTGGCGTCTTCCCTTAATTCTGGGTGGTGGTGGGTGCATTGCCCAATCGTGGTCGTTTCACTGTGGAATTTCGCCAGTGGATCTCATTTGCGTTGGTTGTTTTTGGGATTCTCTTTGTTTCAGATGAGAGGGTTTTTGTCCTGGCGCCTGAAGGGACAAGGTTTCCTTCTCTTCTCAAACCGTGTTCAAGATAAGAAATGATTTCCTTTAATTCGTACTTTTGGGCGTAGATATGACTCGCTCGCAATCTTCTCGGTCGACCTATTATTTCTTGAAGGTTTGGGTTTTTATCTGAGCCGATAGTATTTATCTCAACTGTCGCCCTCGGAATTCCACATCGTAATTTAGTTCGCGAAAATGATGTTCCTTGCAGGGAAATCCCATTCTTCTGTATTTTCCTAAAACCCTAAAACCCTAGACCCTAACCCCCTAAACCCTAAATCCTAGAACCTAAAACCTGGTTTTAGGGTTCGAGGAATGTGGGCCGTTCAGCCCCAGAGCCCAAAACCCTGAAAAGCCCTAGGCGACTTGAAGGCTTAAGTGACCTGACTTCGAACTCTACTTATGTGGGTTAGGGTTTAGGGTTTAGGGTTTAGGGTCTAGGGTCTAGGGTTTAGGGTTTAGGGTCTAGGGTCTAGGGTCTAGGGTTTAGGGTTTACTACCCAGGAGCCATCAAGTGGCAGACTCCCACACCCCCAAACCCCGAGTGTTAGGGCCTAGTGTTCGGGGCCTCATCCGAGAGGAGTTTTGGGTGGTTTGCAATATACATATCCAGACCAGACAGGGATCAGAAGGAGATGATGTTGGTAGCTATGCGGGGGAGCTTGAACCCTAAGCCCCAAGCCCCAAAGCCTAGGCCTTAAACCCTAAACCGCAAGCCCCTCAACCCTCAACCCTCAGCCCTCAACCCTCAACCCTCAACCCTCAACCCTCAACCCTCAACCCTCAACCCTCAACCCTCAACCCTCAACCCTCAACCCTCAACCCTCAACCCTCAACCCTAAACCCTTAACCTTAAAGCGCTTCGACAACGGCCCAGCCTCGAAGGTCATGCTTATACGTGACACGCATCTGCTCTTTGCGGCTCTCGGGATCCTTTGCCAGCAATAGCAACGGGACTTCAATGGGAAGCCCCAAACAGGGAATCCCAAGAATGCGGAAAGCCCGAATTCGACCAAACCCTAAATCCTGAAACACTTGTCGCCCTAAACTCTTACAAGTTGAGCCCCAAACCCCAAACCCCAAACCCCAAACCCCAAACCCCAAACCCCAAACCCCAAACCCCAAACCCCAAACCCCAAACCCCAAACCCCAACCCCCCAACCCCAAACCCCAAACCCCAAACCCCAAACCCCAAACCCCAAACCCCAAACCCCAAACCCCAAACCCCAAACCCCCAACCCCAAACCCCAAACCCCACACCCCAAACCCCAAACCCCAAACCCCAAACCCCAAACCCCAAACCCCAAACCCCAAACCCCAAACCCCAAACCCCAAACTCCAAACCCCAAACCCCAAACCCTAAACCTCAAACCCTAAACCCCTAAACGCTAAACCCTAATAAGCCCCAAGCTCTCATAGCTCCACAGGCAAGTCCTTGCAGGTTGATGCCGTTGTGCGGCCGAGTTTGGTTGTAAGTATAGCTGCAGTTGTCCGAAGTTCCTTTAAGGGTTTCGGGTTTAAGGTTCAGGGTTTAGGGGGGTTAGGGTTTAGGGTTTTGGGATCAGTGGTACTATATCAAGAAAACGAGCATCCTTATGTTCTCCACTTGTCAGTGTTCCTTGTATCAACCTGCCCAGGGGTTCCCAGAGCGCTCTGAACCCGGCATCCCTAAACCTTAAACCCTAAACCCTAGACTCTAAACCCTACACCCTAAAGCCTAAACCCTAAACCCCAAACCCCGCCCGGACCTACTGCGACCGCGCCACCGCCCAGGGCTGTGCAGGTCCTTGCCAAGAAGGCGGACGTCTGGGACGAAGGCTTGGAGAAGCTTTTCAAGGAGCCCCGGATGCCTCCGCAGTTTAGGGTTTAGGGTTTAGGGTTTAGGGTTTGGGGCAACCCTAGGTGTAGGGTGTAGGGAAGCCAATACTGACCCCTAAGCCTGAGCCTTAAAGCCCACGTACATTAGGAGAGCTTCCACGCTCCAACCCTAAACCCTAAACCCTCAACCCGAAACCCCAAACCCCAAGCCCTAAACCCGAAACCCCAAACCCCAAACCCTAACTAAGCCCTAAACCCGAAACCCTAATTAAACCCTAAACCCGAAACCCTAAACCCTTTGTGGCCCAAATCTTGAGCCTAGGGTTGAGGGTTTAGGGTTTAGGGTTTAGGGTTTAGGGTTTAGGGTTTAGGGCCCCAAATTCTAGCTTAAACAGGTGGGTTCCAGGGCCAGGAGGGGTTCGAGTTGCTGGGTGGCTCTGGGGCGAGGATACTGCAGCCATTGTGGCCGAGCAGGACGACAACAGGCGTTTGGGTGAAGGGTGTAGGGTTTTAGGGTGTAGGGTTTTAGGGTGTAGGGTTTAGGGTGTAGGGTTTAGGGTGTAGGGTGTAGTGTTTCGGGTTTTTGGTTTAGGGTGTAGGGTGTAGCGCTTAGGACATTCTGTTTTTCAATGGCCTTTATTAAGCACGTTCCTGTTAATGGGGTCTAAGAGAGAGTATTGGGAATCCCGGGCGGGGTTTCAACGGCGTTTGAGGGGTGGCTTTGGGCTTTTCAAGGGGTTTTGGGTGTGGGTTTCCGGTTTAGGGTTTAGGTCTTTGCAGCCGCCGCTTGAAGCCTTAGCTTAATGCGGGTTTGGTGGCTTGTAGGGCCTAATCTTTTGGTGCGTCTTGTGTTTTTTTTTTGGCGGGGTGGGGAGGTTTCCTGTGTAATCTCCACTGTTTCTGATAGGCACAGAATTCGGCGTAGATACTCTAGGTCATATCGGAGACCTCTTGCGTGTACTTTGGCCTGTGAAATGCGAAGGCTAAGGGGCCGTTACGAACCAAGGCAACCACAGCTTTGTTTGCACGTTCTTGCAAATTCAGGTATCGGGTTGAGGGTTCAGGGTTCAGGGTTAAGGGTTTAGAGCGCACACGTGCTGGAATGCCACAGTTGTTCGTGTTGACAGCCGATCAACCATTTCTCGCGTTCACCATGTTTGCGAAGCTGCCAGACAGCAGGGCCGTCCTTGTTTTTCAGTTTTTGAGGTTTGTGAAGACTACCAGCGCTGCAAAGGGCATGCTGTAATGCAGATCGTTTGGATCGAGCACCTTGAAATGTTGCAATCCACAGCACGATGCAGTGCCCTTTGCAGTGTTTGCTTTGCTCAACACGAGCAATTTTTTGGGACTAGTGGTGGAATCCTTCCTTAATACTCGAGCTTGCACGGAGTTGTCTCTAGAGACTCCCCATTTGTGAAAGCCTCAAAAGCTCCATGGTTGGTTGTAGGGGCTTTTAGGGTTGTCAGCTGCATGCAGCGCACTGCATGCACTGCAGGCGGAAGCGCGAGGACGAATGTGGGTGGGGAAGGGTTTAGGGTTTAGGGTTAGGGTTTCGGGTTTCGGGTTTAGGTGGGGAGCCTTTGAAACTTGGGCGAGGTCCTCGGGTTTCGAGTTTGAGGTTTAGGGCCTCGGGCTTCAGGTTTGGGGTTTAGGTCTCCAAGTTTGGGGTTTTGGGGCTTAGGACTTGGGCAGAGTTCGAGGTTCGAGCTTTTAGGGTTCAGGGTTTGGGGTTTAGATTTCGTGTTTGGGTTTAGGGTATGTAGGGTTCTGTTCTTGGGTGCACCGATTGGGTTTACGCGCTCTCTCTCAGGTACAACTGATATATCTGCACATGCACACCCCACAATGTGTAGGTATAAACGTGCGGGAAACCCTGAGATCTAAACCCTAAACCCTCAACCCGAACCGGAGCCTAACCCCCCCTTCCCTGCTTCAAAACCTCCAAGATCTTACCAGGAGAGGCAGGTAATTCCTAAACCCTAAGCCCTGCAGGGTGTAGGGTTCCCTTCTCAGCACCCAGAACGAGACGCTCAGCCTGAGGCCACTAGGGGGATACTTAAGTCAACTTACTTTTCGGGAGAACTGAGGGCAGTTAGCATCCTCCTTATGACCCCCTTGCTGGTCTCCCTCAGCCTCGAACACTAAACCTTAAACCCTGAATCCTTAACCCGAAACCCCCAACCCCTAAACCCCAAACTAAGCCCCCAACCCTAAACCCTAAACTTTAAACCCTAAACCCTAAAATCCTAAACCCAAAGCCCTAGCAAGTCAGCACCCAGAGGAGCTGCTCGAGCAGCTCGTGCGCGTTGTCGCCAAGGTGGAGGCCCACCTCGTGCCCCGCAACCCTAAACCCTAAACCCTAAACCCTAAAACCTAAACCCTAAACCCTAAACCCTAAACCCTAAACCCTAAACCCTAAACCCTAAACCCTAAACGCTAAACCCTAAACCCTAAACCCTAAACCCTAAACCCTAAACCCTAAACCCCAAACCCTAAACCCTAAACCCCCAACCCTAAACCCCAAACCCTAAACCCTAAACCCCCAACCCTAAACCCTAAGCCCTAAACCCTAAAACCCCCAACCCTAAACCCTAAGCCCTAAACCCCAAACCTCAAACTCTAAGCCCTCAAACCCAGCACCCCGATCCCCAGAAAGCACCAAGCCGACCACCCTGCGAGCCTTGAGCCGAGGTTTCCGCGCAAACCTAGGGCTTAGGGTTCGGGGTTTAAGTTTAGGGTTTAGAGTTAAGGGTTTAGAGTTTTTTGTGATTGGGGTTAAGGGTCCAGGGTTCTCAGGTTTCAGGGTCATTTGTCAGGGTTGAGGGTTTTGGGTTTAGGGTTTAGTGTTTAGGGTTTAGGGTTGAGGGTCTCGAGGGGCGTTGAAGGGCTTTTTAGTCTTTGGGGTTCGGCGCTCTGGGGGCGGCCTTCAGAGGTCGGCTAGCCCCAAGCAAGCAAACAGCAAAGCCAGTGCCAAGCTGTCGTACTCCCTTGGGTTTAGGGTTTAGGGTTTAGGGTTTAGGGTTTAGGGTTTAAGGGTTTAGGTCTGATTCTCCGAAGCCCTAAACCCTATGCCCAAGACCCAAATCCCTAAGCTTTTTGTGACGAAAGTGCCACGCCTGCCACGACCACCGCAGGCATACCTTTCCGCAGCCCCCAGACAAAATAAGGCGCGTTAACCAAATGCTATCTTGTCATAGTACTCTTTTGAATCCTGCGAAGTGGCGGTATAAGCTGCCCAAGCAAGTAGAAGCTGCCCAGAATACCCACTCTAATTAACAAGGACCCCCCCCCCCCCCATGCCTCAACCCTCAACCCTCAACCCTCAACCCTCAACCCTCAACCCTCAACCCTCAACCCTCAACCCTCAACCCTCAACCCTCAACCCTCAACCCTCAACCCTCAACCCTCAACCCTCAACCCTCACCCCTCAACCCTCAACCCTCAACCCTCAACCCTCAACCCTAAACCCGAAACCCCAAACCCCAAACCCCAAACCCTAAACCCTCAACGCTCAACCCTAAACCCTAAACCCGAAACCCTAAACCCTAAACCCTAACTCGTGCAGCCGGATAGGTGATGCAGTTCGGCTTCGCGAAGACGGAAGAGTCTGTCGTCGCTGTCTTGGCGTTTTGGGGGGTGTTCCCTCAACTTGACCCCGAGAATAGGGTTTAGGGTTTAGGGTTTAGGGTTTAGGGCTTGGCGGGGTTCCCTCAACTTGACCCGGCTAGCACAGTACGAGAAACCAAACATCTAAACCTACTTATAACTACTCATGCGCCTCCAAATGCCCATCAAAGGGTTCTTAAGGGAGGGGGTTCAAGGGGGTATACGAGCCCTTAGAGGCTCAGGAGCTGTGATCTCCCTTGAGAATCAATGGTCACCAAAAAGGGGCTTGGCAGGTGGAATCGCAACTTGCTGATGTGTGCTGTGTCGGCAGGTTTGACAGGAGTATACTAGAACGAAGCCCGAAACGCGAAACCCGAAACCACTATAATCACTCCAGACCCAAACAAACATGAACCCTTAACTTGGGTCAATCATATTCGACACGGTGTTCGAATTTCGACTGGCCTGCGCAATATTTCCGGGACCCCCCCCGCCCTCTCCTCTCTAAACCCGAAAGCCCTACACCCTAAACCCCAAATCCTAAACCCTAAACCCTAAACCCTAAACCCTAAACCCTAAACCCTAAACCCTAACCCCTAAAAACCCGGAACCCCCCAAGACTGCAGGGCCCCTGAAGCCAAAAGGCACGCATGGACGGGACCATCACCCACTACAAGGAGCTGCAGGACGAGCGGCACGGCCTCGTGCTGGCAGGCGGTTGTTTAGGGTTCAGGGTTTAGGGTTTGGGGTTTAGGGTTTAGGGTTTAGGGTTTAGGGTTTAGGGTTTAGGGTTTAGGGTTTAGGGTTTAGGGCTTGGTACGAAGGACCTTTCTGTACTATTTGGCAATCGTCTTTTTCCTATTATATTTTAAATGCTGCACACCATATTTAAATTTTAAAGCTTTTTGAAGGAAACTAAAGGCTTTAAAATCTTTAAAACCTTTAAAATTCAATTGAGGAGGCCCTCAATTAAATTTTAAAGGGGAGGGGCTCCTTTTAAAATCTTTAAAATCTTTAAAATCTTTAAAATTTAATTGGGCCTCCATTTAAATTTTAAAGGTTTTAAAGGAATTTAAAGGCTTTAAAACCTTTAAAACCTTTAAAATCTAATTGAGGAGGTCCCCAATTAAATTTTAAAGGGGAGGGCCCCCCTTTAAAATCTTTAAAACCTTTAAAATCTTTAAAATCTTTAAAATTTAATTGGACCTCCATTTAAATTTTAAAGGTTTTAAAGGAATTTAAAGGCTTTTAAACATTTAAAACCTTTAAAATCTAATTGGGGAGGTCCCCAATTGAATTTTAAAGGGCACGGGCCCCTTTTAAAATCTTTAAAACCTTTACAATCTTTAAAATCTTTAAAATTTAATTGGACCTCCATTTAAATTTTAAAGGTTTTAAAGGAATTTAAAGGCTTTAAAACCTTTAAAACCTTTAAAATTTAATTAAGGAGGCCCTCAATTAAAATTTAAAGGGGAGGGGCTCCTTTTAAAATCTTTAAAATCTTGATAATCTTTAAAATCTTTAAAATTTAAGTGGACCTCCATTTAAATTTTAAAGATTTTAAAGGTTTTAAGGCCTTTAAATTCCTTTAAAACCTTTAAAATTTAATTGGGGAGGCCCTCAATTCAATTTTAAAGGGGACGGGCCCCCTTTAAAATCTTTAAAATCTTTAAAGTCTTTAAAACCTTTAAAATTTAATTGGACCTCCATTTAAATTTTAAAGGTTTTAAAGGAATTTAAGGCTTTAAAACCTTTAAAACCTTTAAAATTTAATTGAGGAGGCCCTCAATTAAATTTTAAAGGGGAGGGGCTCCTTTTAAAATCTTTAAAATCTTTAAAATCTTTAAAATCTTTAAAATCTTTAAAATCTTTAAAATCTTTAAAATCTTTAAAATTTAATTGGGCCTCCATTTAAATTTTAAAGGTTTTAAAGGAATTTAAAGGCTTTAAAACCTTTAAAACCTTTAAAATCTAATTGGGGAGGTCCCCAATTAAATTTTAAAGGGGAGGGGCCCCCTTTAAAATCTTTAAAACCTTTAAACCTTTAAAAACTTTAAAATTTAGTTCGGCCTCCAATTAAATTTTAAAGGTTTTAAAGGAATTTAAAGACTTTAAAATCTTTAAAACCTTTTAAAATTTAAATGGAGGTCCAATTAAATTTTAAAGATTTTAAAGATTTTAAAGACTTTAAAGACTTTAAAAGGGGCTCGTGCCCTTTAAAATTCAATTGGGGACCTCCCCAATTAGATTTTAAAGGTTTTAAAGGTTTTAAAGCCTTTAAATTCCTTTAAAACATTTAAAATTTAAATGGAGGCCCAATTAAATTTTAAAGATTTTAAAGATTTTAATGATTTTAAAGGTTTTAAAGATTTTCGAGGGGGGCCTGCGCGCTTTAAAATTTAATTGAGGGCCTCCCCAATTAAATTTTAAAGGTTTTAAAGGTTTTAAAGCCTTTAAATTCCTTTAAAACCTTTAAAATTTAAATGGAGGTCCAATTAAATTTTAAAGATTTTAAAGATTTTAAAGGTTTTAAAGATTTTAAAGGGGACCCCTCCCCTTTAAAATTCAATTGGGGACCTCCCAATTAGATTTTAAAGGTTTTAAAGGTTTTAAAGCCTTTAAATTCCTTTAAAACCTTTAAAATTCAAATGGAGGCCCAATTAAATTTTAAAGATTTTAAAGATTTTAAAGATTTTAAAGATTTTAAAAGGGGCCCGTGCCCTTTAAAATTCAATTGGGGACCTCCCCAATTAGATTTTAAAGGTTTTAAAGGTTTTAAAGCCTTTAAATTCCTTTAAAACCTTTAAAATTTAAATGGAGGCCCAATTAAATTTTAAAGATAAAGATTTTAAAGATTTTAAAGATTTTAAAAGGAGCCCCTCCCCTTTAAAATTTAATTGAGGGCCTCCTCAATTAAATTTTAAAGGTTTTAAAGGTTTTAAAGCCTTTAAATTCCTTTAAAACCTTTAAAATTTAAATGGAGGTCCAATTAAATTTTAAAGATTTTAAAGATTTTAAAGGTTTTAAAGATTTTAAAGGGGGCCCCTCGCCTTTAAAATTCAATTGGGGACCTCCCCAATTAGATTTTAAAGGTTTTAAATGTTTAAAAGCCTTTAAATTCCTTTAAAACCTTTAAAATTTAAATGGAGGCCCAATTAAATTTTAAAGATTTTAAAGATTTTAAAAGGAGCCCCTCCCCTTTAAAATTTAATTGAGGGCCTCCTCAATTAAATTTTAAAGGTTTTAAAGGTTTTAAAGCCTTTAAATTCCTTTAAAACCTTTTAGATTTAAATGGAGGTCCAATTAAATTTTAAAGCTTTTAAAGATTTTAAAGGTTTTAAAGATTTTAAAGGGGGGAGGTGCCCAATTAAATTTTAAAGGGGAGCAATTAGATTTTAAAGGTTTTAAAGGTTTTAAAGCCTTTAAATTCCTTTAAAACCTTTAAAATTTAAATGGAGGCCCAATTAAATTTTCAAGATTTTAAAGATTTTAAGGATTTTAAAGATTTTAAAAGGGGCCCGTGCCCTTTAAAATTCAATTGGGGACCTCCCCAATTAGATTTTAAAGGTTTTAAAGGTGTTAAAGCCTTTAAATTCCTTTAAAACCTTTAAAATTTAAATGGAGGCCCAATTAAATTTTAAAGATTTTAAAGATTTTAAAGATTTTGAAGATTTTAAAAGGAGCCCCTCCCCTTTAAAATTTAATTGAGGGCCTCCTCAATTAAATTTTAAAGGTTTTAAAGGTTTTAAAGCCTTTAAATTCCTTTAAAACCTTTAAAATTTAAATGGAGGTCCAATTAAATTTTAAAGATTTTAAAGATTTTAAAGGTTTTTAAGATTTTAAAGGGGGCCCCTCCCCTTTAAAATTCAATTGGGGACCTCCCCAATTAGATTTTAAAGGTTTTAAAGGTTTTAAAGCCTTTAAATTCCTTTAAAACCTTTAAAATTTAAATGGAGGCCCAATTAAATTTTAAAGATTTTAAAGATTTTAAAGATTTTCAAGATTTTAAAGATTTTAAAAGGAGCCCCTCCCCTTTAAAATTTAATTGAGGGCCTCCTCAATTAAATTTTAAAGGTTTTAAAGGTTTTAAAGCCTTTAAATTCCTTTAAAACCTTTAAAATTTAAATGGAGGCCCAATTAAATTTTAAAGCTTTTAAAGATTTTAAAGGTTTGAAAGATTTTAAAGGGGGCCCCCCCCCTTTAAAATTTAATTGGGCACCTCCCCAATTAGATTTTAAAGGTTTTAAAGGTTTTAAAGCCTTTAAATTCCTTTAAAACATTTAATTTAAATGGAGGCCCAATTAAATTTTAAAGATTTTAAAGATTTTAAAGATTTTAAAAGGAGCCCCTGCCCTTTAAAATTTAATTGAGGGCCTCCTCAATTAAATTTTAAAGGTTTTAAATGTTTTAAAGCCTTTAAATTCCTTTAAAACCTTTAAAATTTAAATGGAGGTCCAATTAAATTTTAAAGCTTTTAAAGATTTTAAAGGTGTTAAAGATTTTAAAGATTTTAAAAGGAGCCCGTCCCCTTCAAAATTTAATTGAGGGCCTGCTCAATTAAATTTTAAAGGTTTTAAAGTTTTTAAAGCCTTTAAATTCCTTTAAAGCCTCTAAAATTTAAATGGAGGTCCAATTAAATTTTAAAGATTTTAAAGATTTTAAAGGTTTTAAAGATTTTAAAGGGGGGCCCTCCCCTTTAAAATTTAATTGGGGACCTCCCCATTTAGATTTTAAAGGTTTTAAAGGTGTTAAAGCCTTTAAATTCCTTTAAAACCTTTAAAATTTAAATGGAGGCCCAATTAAATTTTAAAGATTTTAAAGATTTTAAAGATTTTAAAGATTTTAAAGATTTTAAAAGGGGCCCGTGCCCTTTAAAATTCAATTGAGGGCCTCCTCAATTAAATTTTAAAGGTTTTAAAGGTTTTAAAGCCTTTAAATTCCTTTAAAACCTTCAAAATTTAAATGGAGGTCCAGTTAAATTTTAAAGGTTTTAAAGATTTTAAAGGGGGCCCCTCCCCTTTAAAATTTAATTGGGGACCTCCGCAATTAGATTTTAAATGTTTTAAAGGTTTAAAGCCTTTAAATTCCCCCAAAACCTTTAAAATTTTTAATGGAGGCCCAATTAAGTTTTAAGGATTTTAAGATTTTAAAGATTTTAAAAGGAGCCCCTCCCCTTCAAAATTTAATTGAGGGCCTGCTCAATTAAATTTTAAAGGTTTTAAAGGTTTTAAAGCCTTTAAATTCCTTTAAAACCTTTAAAATTTAAATGGAGGTCCAATTAAATTTTAAAGATTTTAAAGATTTTAAAGGTTTTAAAGATTTTAAAGGGGGCCCCTCCCCTTTAAAATTCAATTGGGGACCTCCCCAATTAGATTTTAAAGGTTTTAAAGGAATTTAAAGGCTTTAAAACCTTTAAAACCTTTAAAATTTCAATGGAGGTCCAATAAAATTTTAAAGATTTTAAAAATTTGAAAGATTTTAAAGATTTTAAAAGGGGCCCGTGCCCTTTAAAATTCAATTGGGGACCTCCCCAATTAGATTTTAAAGGTTTTAAAGGTTTTAAAGCCTTTGAATTCCTTTAAAACCTTTACTCTCTCTCTCTCTCTTTCTTTCTTTTTTTTGGGCGGCATGTCTTGTAGAATTGGAAGACGAGGATAAGGGTGAGCTACAACAAAAGAGGTTTGCTGAAGCAGAGAGGGAGTGAGACAGGGCGA